AATAAAAATTCTAGTTAAAGAGTCAGTTTATTAGCTTTTGATACCAACTCGTATATTGGTGTAAAATATTATTTTGAAATTTAAAAAAAAAATATTTTTCGAACATTTAGTAAATTTTTTAGTAATATTAGAATTTCATTTTACGAAATAAGAAAGCTGATTCTTCTACCCAAAAACACTTTAAGGAGGGATTACGAGAAATTTCCAAACACAAAGAGGGATTATACAATGTATATTTTAACTTCTGAGCATAAGTTTAAAGTTACGTTAAAATTAAGTTCTGTGCGTTTTGATTAAGGCGTTTTACTATGCCTTTGTACTTTATGTTGTAAATATTTTCATACTGTACTTTATTCTTTATATGTCATTTATACTTGTTGTTAATGTATATTTTGTGTTTTATGTATGTTTAATGTATGTTTTGCATGCAGAATGTATGTTCTACTCTCGTATGCCCTTGAATAGGGCGGGTCGAGATATGAATAAACAATATGCCTTTTCGGCAGCTAATGACATAAATGTCCACCGCAGTCCTAAACTTCTCTGTAGGCCCGTTTACACTTTGAATTATTTGAGGGATCTCGGTGTGTCTCAGGATGGACATGCAGGTCAATAACAGTCATATAAGCGATCAACAGCTTCGTGCCACTGCTCTATCTACTATTGAAAACAAATACCCTACATGGTTACATGTCTATACAGATGGATCTATGTTTAACGATGAAGACGGAACGGAAGTCGGCGTGTATTATGATTTTTTTCGTGGTATTCACCAATTGGTGCCCATTCCAGACATCACGATATTGAAATCGAGGCTAATTATATCGCTTTAAAGCAACTGGCAATCCGCTGTTCATGATTCAGTAGAGCTGTTATTTTGTCAGACTCCACATCTGCATTGCAATCTCTTGCAAATAGACAGTATACTTAGTAAAATAACACCCGTATTCTGGAGTGGAGTGAGCTGGTAATGTCGATCTCTGTTTCCTTCCAGTGGATCCGAGTTCATTATGGGATTCTTGGAAATGACGCTGCTGACTTTTTAGCCAAAAAGGGGGCAGGGGTCCTCCAGAGACCTTTGAAAAGCCTCTCATTTCATTTAGTCAATCTCCTGATAAAAAGAAGATATAACACCAGGATAAGGCAGAAAGCATTATGTGACTCTGCCGGTAAGCCGTGGGTCCCACTGCGTGAGGATATACGGTTGATTCCAGATTTTTCTGGAAGAGCAGCTGTGGCACTTTTCCGTCTTACTACAGGCCATGACTGTTTTGCCAGCGTATTAGTATCGGTTTGGGCTTTGTGATTTTCCTTTTCATCCTTTGTGTGGACAGCATCAAATTTTTAATGCTACTCATCTTGGCTCGTGTTCTGCACTTGTGTTTTTAAATTGTAATGTATAGCGATATTGGTAGGCCAGAGAACTAAAGGCGTTATATATAATTCTTCTGGGCATTTGTAACAAATATATTTCACGAAATGGAAAATTATGATATCATGAGGAAACTACGAATTAAACTATGTAAAAAATACAGTCAAGTGAATGTTTGCTACTTGAAAATTGAAGAGGTTTGGAACTCGCTCCAATAGGTCCATGAGCCCTATTACGCATTCTTCCGAAAAGAACTGAGTCTCGGTAACTAATCACGTGATATGTGAAGTCAATAAACAAGCGCCCTTCGAAAACCTACTCTCAAACGTGTGATAAACGCGTGAACTAATTATCTCTTGTTCTCACTTTAATTGAGGATGATCAGTGTTGTAATCTTAATTTCTCACAACTAATCAACATATTAGGATTAGGAGTTCTTACCATTAAGTCCTAGTAAGTGAAAATCCGATTATTGGATCAAAAGTTGTTCTGGATGCTAATGGTTTTACTTTGAGCATTGCACAATGTACTCTCGGCTTCACTATTCAAGAACATTTCTAAGGAGCTTCGACAAAACAATGAGCATAATATGATAAATTCTCCTGAAAATTCTTCCATCAAAAAACTAGTGTATTTTGTGACTCTTTTGTATTCTGGAGTGTTGAAATTTATCTTCCCCTCAAATTTCACATTTGTAAGTGCAACAGTTAGCAATCAGGTCGGGAAGGACGCCGGCTAACAAATTGCATGCATAATGCATAATTTAAATTATGCATGATATTATTTTATTACATGCTTACATTAAATTCACAGTATGGCAAAAGAAAATTCGAAAGTTACAGGAAACACAAAAGTGCACTATTGTCAATCATAAATTTGCATCCATCTGTTTAAGAACCGTATGAGTTTTAAAGTATAAGCAAAGGGACATTTCTAAATTTTAATTATTGCTTGAAAACAGATTCCTTTTCAGCTTTATTATTACACTGTTTACCTTAACTACAATGATCTACATTACTAACCTTAATTACAATAATTTACACTATTAACCTTCATGATTAAGGATGCGTTATCAACCGAAAGATTAATTTCTGGTACCAGTTACAAAATTAGCTTAGTATCAATTGGTTAATTAAGTAGAAACTATCTTGGAAGTGATTTTTTTTTACGCTGAAATTAGTATTTTTCGATTTAAATTTCGATGCAAAAACGTGACTAAACTTTTGTAACTAAGTACAGTAGTGATTACACTGGGTAGCCGAGGGTCGTAGAATCAGTGTTTACATAAAAATAGAAAGCGGGAATGTATCTGTTATGTGAGCAACACATTCATTAATATTGATTAAAAGTAATGATGGGAGGAAAATATATCTTTAAGCTGTTTAAAAATGATTGTAGTATCATTTTTGACAAAAAGGTGAAATAAAGTTGCAGTAACGTTTTCAAAAAAGTCTTTTATGATTAAAAACAATTCAAAAACTTTTGAACGATTGAATTAATGTATTATTTTTTATCACCCATGAGCCCTAGGGCATTGACTTAGATTTATGGGAAGCTTTTCATATCATTAAAAGCAAAATTGCAAGAATTTATTATCTCTCTGCTACTCCATATTTATCAAATATTTGAAAAACACTTATTTTTAATATTTATATATAAATATCTATTGTTCATTTAAATATCTATTGTTCATTAAGTTTGAATCAACTTAATTTATCAATTCCACGTAATTTCATTTCAAAATGTAATAATTCCGGAGATATATTTACTCAGTAGAAATTTAAAAATATAATAAGTAAATGAGTAACAATAAGAAAGTAATAAGTTATTCTCACTACACACACATATAAGAAGGGACAAGAATCACAAAAATATAGAGATGAAAAAATTAATAACTTAAAGTAATTGCTTAAAACTAGTGCAAGTTCTAACTGCGAAACTGAAAAATTAAACGCGATTGTTCTAATATTTATCCTTTTTATCCTTTATTTCTTTTAATTTTTCACGACGCTCCACTGTGGAGCAAAAGTCTTTTTTCGCGGTCAAAAATAAAAAAAATGAAGTTATAAGAAAAAAAAATCTCAATATGGTTTTTTGTAGTAAAATGTCCAAGGAATGAGACGGTGTATTTTGTTTTTTTGGTTTATAAATGGAAATAGCATTTAAATGGAAACAAAGTCGAAATTAAAAAAAATTAAAGTTTTCAGTTAAATTTTTATTAATATGGTAACTCCTTATAGTAAATAAAAATATTAAAACTATGCATGATTTATACATAAATGTATTTCCAAGATATATATGAATTCATTATTTTATATAAATACTATTAAAACCAGAGCCATTTTCCTATTTCTGAACTGTACAATGAAATTGCAACTTTAGGGTGCTCTATAAAAAAAAGCCTTACGTTGCCGAGGTAAAAAAAAATGTGTGCATTTGTTTGGTATATATACTCAAGAACTAAAAAAAATTAGCTGCGAATATTTGCGAATTTGGCTGATATATCGATTTTTATCGTTCGCGTCATTTTTATAATAAAGATTTTCTTATATCTACATGGCTGAACAATCTTGTCATTTTTTTAAAATTGCTGCTTAAATCAAACCTTATGACAATGGTGCCAGCACTACATATTTTGTAATTATATTTAGTCTCAAAATGTAAAGGAACAATTCTATCTACAATTTCGGATTTAAAAATTATTCATTTTTCGTCAAGGTCAGTGGAGTGTTTTCAATATTTTCACATTCATTGTGTTTCGACTATCATTTTTCATTCTAAACGGAGTGAATTTCAAGTTATACTAGTAAATTGAGGTAGGCATTTTTAAATTTTTTTTATTAAATATCAAAATAAAATGCTCTGTAATGAAATAGCAACTTATTCGCTGAAATATTTATTATTTTTTTTTTAAGATGGCATCAAAAATATATAAATGCCAAATTTTCGAATTTCTCATTGAAAGCAATGCTAATTGGACCCAACAACGATACGAAAATGCTGATAAGTCGGTTGCAGTGTTGTTTAATATTGAAAGTTTGAATGGCCAACAAAAATCAGAATTAAGAAAAATTTTTGCAACTATTAAAAATAAGTGGCAAAAATGCACTCGCAAGAAAGATTTATTTCTCCAGCAAAATAAAGATTGGCTTGACACGGAATTGAAATTGTACACATTCCAATGCAAAGGTAAATTATCTATAATTTGTAAAATTTTTATTACTTATATAAAATATGTGAGTAAATTATTGTTCTTATTTTTATTTTTTTTTTTTTTTTTTTTTTTTGTTGATAGAAACTGTTTCAAATTCAACATCAATTCCTGTAAAACGTGGTAGGCCGCAAAAAGATTATGCATCAAGTAATGAACGCACTAAAAGACGCTAACTTCGAAAATTGTGTGAAGAAGCAGAACCACAATTAATTTTCGATGCGAGCAAAAGACACCTTCGATCTAAAGGCAATGCAGAAACCGTAAAATGTATTGGAGAAATAAAATTAAATAACTCCAATTTGATACAAAAAACTCCCAATGTTAACGCTTACTCACCAGATGAAGCATTAGCTTTAATCGTTCAAACAGGATTAACGAGAAACGCATATCAAAATAGAGAATAGTGCGAAATAGTGCCTTGGAACGTGAAATAAATGTCTATCCACCCTATTACAAAGTACGAGAAGCTACGTCACATTGTTATCCATCGAAAGTCTCTATCTGCATAAGTGAAGTGAAAGCTGAAATTAATCTTCAAGACTCACTAGATCTGACAACACAACGCATCTTAAAAGTTCAATCAGATGTCTTTGCTTAAACTTCTGCAGACAAAATGCAAAACATAACTTTGATTTCTAAATGGGGTTGCGATGGCAGTAGTGGTCATTCCCTGAATAAGCAAATTTTTCAAGATTCGTCTAATTCAGATGCTAGTCTTTATATGAATTGCTTAGTGCCTCTACAACTTCACGGTACTTGCAACGGAGATCATAAAAAAAATTATATTGTGGCAAAATCCCAGACCTTCTGCCACAAGATATTGCAGAGCAGTAAAGCTTGAGTTCAAAAATGAAACGACTGATGCTATTCAACAAGAGAAGTTGATGATGGACATTAAAATTAAAAACCTGGTCCCTACAGTTGCGAACTTACATAATTCTCAATCTTTTGTTGTTAAGCATATTTTAGGTATGACAATGATTGACGGAAAAACGTGTAATGCGATTACTGATACAAAGTCTGCACAGACATGCAATATATGCAGAGCTACATCAAAAGAGATGAACGACTTGGCGAAACTAAAGACCAAGAAGATAAATACAGATTTTTATGAATACGATTTATCAACACTGCACGCTTATATTCGTTTTTTTTAGTGGTTATATCATGTTTCTGTACGACTTGAAGTGAAGTGTTGGCAGAAAAGAAAAGATGTGAAAGAAAAAGTGGAAATCAGAGAAGAAAATATAAAGTTTCACAGAGAGATGGGTTTACCTGTAGGTATAATTATACAAGGAAAAGGTACCACGCACGACGGAAATCTGGCTCGTCGTTTTTTCGAAAACTCGAAAAAGTCTTCTGAAATTACAGGACTTAATGAAAATCTGATTTCAATGTGTAATACCATTTTGAAAGCATTATCAAGTGGATATGCAGTTGATTCCTCTAAATTTTACAATTATTCATTGGAACTTGCAAATTTATATGTAAATGAGTATTCGTGGTATCCAATGCCAGCTAGCGTTCATAAGATATTGATTCACGGACATGATATTTTAAAATCAGCTTTATTACCTATAGGTATGATGAGTGAAGAAGCCCAAGAGGCTAGGAATAAAGATTTTAGAAATTACCGTGAAAAGTTCACAAGAAAGATATCTAGAGTACACACGAATGAAGACATATTACATATGTTTCTAATTTCGTCAGATCCAGTAATAAGTTCTCTTCGAAAATTGCCTAGTAGGAAAAGTGGTAGCATGCCTCAAGCCGTTATCGATTTATTGGAAGATCCTTCAGCAAGTTCATGTTTTATAGAAATGGAAAATTAATAGTGCCAAAGTAGTTTGTTTATATTAAATATAAATAAAAAACGTTGTTTAATAAAAATAATACTTCATGTACAAAAAAAATTATAAAAATAAACTTGAGATTATTATTTTTGTTATAACATTTTCAAAATTTTTTATATCTAGCAAAATAGATTCATTATTTTTTTTAAATTCGATAATCGAATTTGCAATTAACAATCTTAAATATTTTGATTCAATTTATTTAGTTTAAATTTGTTTTGATAAATATTCGCGATTTTACATCCATTACTTTATTTATTAAAATTATTAACCACAAATTTGTAATCAAAGATCTCAAAAACTACTATTAAATAATTTTTATTTATTTATTTGCAATTTTTACAATTATCATCCGCCATTTTGGATCCGCCATTTTGTTTTTTTGAAATTTTGACTTCATATTTGAAATCAGTGACCAAAAAAAACTATAGGTGAACAATTTCTAGAACATTGAAGTTAATTTTCTAATTTTGACCGCATTTTTCTGATTTTGTCCCACTGTGCGCTCCTTTTAAAGTCGCAATTGGGTTAATTTGAAAGAATGCTTTACCCTATGCACCGTTTCTCTAACTAATAACCTGTGAAAATGGGCTTTGTTATACAGAGTAAATGCAGTTGAAAATGCGATTTTTTATGTATGTTGACATAAAATATCTGAAAAATAAGAGAGGCATATAACATTACTATTCAATTCGGGAATTTATGATTTTAATTTAGCAATTAGTGCTGTTGACAAATCAAAATTTATTTCAGCAAAATTATTCAAAATAGTTCTTTCAATTTTCATTTTTGATTAATATACTTACCAATGAAAAATAGCTTTAACAACTACATTTAAAAACAAAAATTACATATAAATGAAATGATGTATACAAAAATTGATGAAAAATAACATACAAAAGAGAAAGAATAACTTAGCAGCGGAAAATCTAATCTCAAAAGATTCGGATTTAATTTTAAATAAATTGAAAACTAAAATTAGAATTCATGTATTGTAGCCAGTACATAAAGTAAAGAAATATACGAACATACGAATTTATTATGAATGCTGTTTTAATAAAAAAGGATGGCAATTTAATTTTGAATAAAGTCAAAATTAATTTTGATTTCCGAGTTTCATTTTGGGAACATCATAAAGTTGATTAGATTTTATAACAATGGTTTTTCAGACATTTAATTTTAGTTACATAACAATGCGGATCGTTTTCGATTTTTGTTTTAGTTTTGTTTATATGTATTTAATTAGATTTGTTTCTATATGCATTGAAATTGCTATTTTTATTAACATTTTAATATGATTGATTTAAGTCAAACAGTATGTGATAAGAAGCTAGCAGTTACTATTATTATTGCTTGCGTTAATTTAATTATAGTTTTAACCCCAAAAAATCCTAAGTAAAATTTTACAAAAATTTTCTTGCTTTTTCCCTGTTCAATAACTTGGAGAAGCCAGTTTTTTGAAGTAGGAAAGCCTGTTTCTGAAAGTGCTGAAAAAGCCGGGACTAACGCTCACAGGGTAAAATGATATTGCATCTTTAGAAATGATGATTTTGTGAAACTAACACAGTAAATATTTAATTACGTCTTGATTTAAAATTTTTGGGTTTACAAATAAGCTCCCGTGGTTAGTCTCAATACGGAATTACAATAAATTTATGTAGAAATTGACTGGTGTTAAGCGTCTTATTGTAAGTTTGTTCTTTCGGTAACAACATAGCCTTAAAATATTAGTGATTCCGTATTAGTATTACGTAGTTTTTTTCGTGCAAAAATGTCAAGTGTTGTGCCAAACAAGCGTCATTTGCGGGAACTTTCGATTTACTTCTTTAATTTGAAGGAATCTGCAACTGAGGAGCGTCGATTGATTGGAGAAGCATATGATGAGTCTGATTTAAGTGAGAGAAGTTGTCGTGAATGGTTTCAAAAATTTAAAACGATGACTTCGACGTGGAAGACAAAGAAAGCAGTGGGAGGCCGAAATTGTACGAAGACAAAGAATTGGAAGAATTATTGGAAGAAGATTCGTCCCAGATACAAAAAGAACTTTCCTCTTACATTACAAGTGACACTGCAAGCACTTTCATATTTGCTTAAAATCGCTGGGAATGATCCAAAAGCAAGGAAGTTGGGTTCCATACGAACTAAAGCCACAAGACATTGAACTTCAAATTTGCATGAAAGTTGATTTTACTACTTGGAAGCACATCAATGGGAAGTCCTACTCTGCCCAGCGTATTTGCCAGACCTTGCCCCTTCAGATTATCACCTATTACAGTGGATGGCACTTGATCTGTCGGAATTTACATCATTTGAAAAAAACCAAGGAATGGGTCAATTCGTGGATATACTCGAAAGATGAAGAATTCTTCTGACTTGGTATCCGAATGCTCCGGATATCACGTCAGAAGGATTCTGACGTGGAAAGATGGAAAAAAGTAGTGTCTAGTAATAGAGAATACTTTGAATAAAAGATAATGAATAGTCTTTTAACAATAAACTGCTAATTTTTGATAGAAAAAGGCGGGAACTTATTTCTACTCCCAATAAAATAAATTCATTCAATCATAATTTCCTAATTGTACTGTAATTTTTTCAAATGCTTTTAATAGTGTCTAAATATTAACAATAAATGTTAATCAATGTTAAGTGTTAACAATCAATGAAAATCAATAAAAAATACAGTTTTATAAAATCTCTGATTTGTAACGATGTTTTCATTCTCAGAATTTTTTTCTCATTTTTTACTATTCAGTAAACATTAAGGTGAATTTCGCCAATTTTAACAAGCTTTTTGTTTTGCAATCACATGATTTATAATGACATTTCTTTGTCGCAAGTAAGTCACGTCAGTGCAATCTGGTGCACTGTAAAAATTTTTTGTGTAACTGAGCACCAAAAATGGTGGTTACTACTTTACACCAAAGTGGCGTCACTAAGTGTTCTACTACACCAAAACCAAGGACAGTTCTTGATGTAGTGAAACATCTAGAATGTTTTTTTCAATCTTTGGTGCAAAGTAGCCACCACCATATTTGTTATTCCGTAGCACTAAAATGTATAATTACAGTAAGATATGATACACACGAATCTGTAAGTTACTCTTATGAGAGACAATATAAAACAAAAATTATAAATTGATTTATACTTGTCACAGACGGAATATTAATACAAATTCAAAAAAAAAAAAATTCGAAGCGAATATTAGTTAAATATAATAAAATTATTCTACCCAAGTGATATGATTAACTGTAAATCTTATGACAACAGATATATCTCCATTTTATTCAACTAAAAACATGCCTGAATTTTGTTACAGTTTATAGAAGTAGTTTCTCAAAATAATCCGACAAGAAGATTGAAATTACTTGGCAAATAATCGATTACCATCAATGCTCTTGATAAAGTAAAGATGATCTAAACTTACTTGATAGTTACTAGTTTGTCAATTCAACCTGACAAGGAGAATCACACAGTAAATAAACCGCCATCTTCTCAATATTTTGGAAGTTTCACAATTATTTGCCTTTAATATTCTACTAATGGACCAAACGAATTTGCAACCAGTTTGAAATACGCTCTGCTATCATATTACACCAAATATTAGTTAAATAGTTTAAATATCCACTAATTATACGCCAAATTTACGTAACCCCGAGAAACACAAGATTCTTCAACAGCTGTAGATTGGTGTAAACTTTATTAATAATCGGCTGTAAGATTTAACTACCACCTTTGAAATGTGTAAGAAAGCTCGATTCACTCACACAATTTTCAAAGTTCTTCAAAACCAAATTCGACTATGTATTACACCAGCGTAAATGACCGGAATAATTCAGAAAGTTTGTGTTGTTTAATCGTATAGTGTTAATCTTTGTAAGTCTCGCTTAACTGTGGAATGCGTCTGAGCTCATTGATATAGTGGTGCAATTTAGAATGATTGGTGGATATTAAAAGAGTTTGTACAAAAGGGCTATACTCCTCGGCACAGACTCAACCTAAAATGTTTATTTTAACGCTAATTTAGAAATGTTTGCCCTGTAAAACAAAGATATGTTAATCCATAGACTTGCTTTAAATGCCTGTCTATGAAATAATATTTTGAGAGTACTTTATTAAATTAATTATTTTATTTTATTGTTTATGTACACAGACACACATTCTCTCTATTTCGTTAGTACATTGTTAAAAAAATTATTGTATCGTAAAATTAATGGCGTCAACTACTTTTTGCCAAAGTAGAAGGGAAACACCGTACATAACTTTTGGTTCTTAGTGCTTCACCACACCGGGAGAAAGCTTTTCTACACTCCTTAGGGATGAATAGTTGCCACCATTTTTGTTATTCAGTAATAGGGAGTTCAGTTTTACTAATCTCCAAAAAACACGACCTTCTTTAGCAATGAACTGCAAATTGGCGTAGGTTTCTATCAATTATTGGTGTTAAGATTAAACTACATGCTTTAAAGTGTGTATGAACTCTTGATTCGGTATTAATTAGAAATAAAATAATCATTCACGCAATTTTTAGCAATTTAAACACCGAATTCGGGTACCTATTATCACTACAGTTTTTTTGCAGTTCTCCAACAATATTTTTCCTTATTTTAAAACTGCTTCGATTATATCAGTGTTTCCCAAACTTATGAATTTTGTGTACCCTTTCTAAGTTTTTTGTAACGCTGTGTATCACTAATAAAAAAATAAATTTATTTTTTACTATAAAAAAAAATTGCAGAAAAGTTAAAAATCACAAATGGCTGTTGACACTACTAATTATTAACTGTTAACTGCAAAAAATAGCCAATAGAAAATACGTAATAGTAAATTTTCATGGCTAGCTTTGTTTTTAAATAAAATTTTTTGAAATTTTCGTTTGTTGCAAGATATTTCGCATAAGTACGCGTACCCCCGATAAACTGCTCCCGTACCCCAAGGGGTACGCGTACCACACTTTGGGAAACACTGGATTATATGATGGGTTGATACAGTG